TTTTTATTACTACTTATCAACTAAGGTAATTTAATTAAGTCAGAAAAAAATTGTGTAGCCACCTTTTTGCTCTGAGCCAATAAGACTCTATTTCATTGGAGAGATTTGCATAGCTCATATACATAAGGACTAGAGTCTTCAGAATCCAGGAGGATGTTGCTTTACAGTCTCCTTTTTCCATTGATTGAAAGATTTGGAGGCTTAATTAGGTCCAAAGTTTTCTGCAGTCCAGTTTTATTACACATTTTCTGATTCTTTCTCAGTGAAGAATGAAAATAGTTTGTCTTCAACCTTTGCAAATATGCATTCTGGGGAGGTCAGGGCCCAGCTGAAATTCTTGTGGGCCCCACCTAGATTTTTTTTTGAAAAATTGTGTTTTTCCACACAAATAAAAATAATGATCTAAAACATTAGTTCAAGCTGGCATGGTGGTGCACACCTGTAATTCCAGCTATTCTGGAGGCTAAGGCAAGGAGAATCATAAGTTCAAAGACAGTCTCCACAATTTAGCAAGAACTTCTTCCAAAAAAAAAAAAGAAGAAGAAGAAGTGGGCTAGGGATATATAGTTCAGTGGTAGAGCACTTTCCTAGCATATACAGAGCCCTGGTTTCGTCTCCAGTACCGCACACCCCCCAAAAAATAGAATCTTCAAAAATTAATAAGATTATTGTGCTTGGTTGAATGACCTACTTATTTGCCAGTAGTTGTCACATCCAACTGCTACTGCAGTTCAGAAGAAGATATTTAGAGCCTCCCACAAAGATTCTTGTAGTGCAGTTAGAATACAGTGTTTTATGAATTCTTGGGCCTTATTTGAAGGCTTCTCACTTGTGCTAATTATTAGCACAGCAGAGTGGTCCTGTGTCTACCTGGTGCTGCTACATCTGAACTTCATTGCTCTTGCTCTTCACTGTACCTGTCTCATAAGCCAGTACAGTTCTGCCTTTGATTTACTCTATCTTTGTCAGTGCAGCTCTCCTTCCTGGATGCCTTTAGTGTGGTCGTTTTCCTAGCCAAATCTCTGTTACAGTCCTGCTAAACTTCCTTGCACTAGAAATTTGCCTTCTTGTAACCACATTCCAGGAGCCGGCTAGTGCCTCCTATGTGGATATGGTCCTTTATTCATTCCTTTAGGATCATCTGTGCACTAAACAGGCACTCAGGGGAGTATCACTCTTCTCTAGCAGAGTGCTGCACACAGTGGGGGTAAAGTGAGGTGTCTGTGTCAGGGAACTTAGCATTTACTAGGGGGAGAGACAGGCCAAAAGGTAACTAAACTATTCTGAGGTACATGGAGCAATGGGGACATGTGAAAGCATCACCTGAACTGATTTGGTAGACTTTCCTTCTGACGGTTTCCTGTTTCAATATTATTCAGTAAACTTAGAACCTCTTACCACATTGGCTGTTTTATATTTGCGATTTGAAATATGTTAGTTCACAATTTTTTTCCTTGTCTAAATGAAATACCTCTCATTCATGCTGTGAAACATATGATGTCTGAGATTAACCATAAGAATCTGGCTTTTTTGCTGGGCACAGTGGTGCACACCTGTAATCTCAGCAGCTCAGGGGGCTGAGGCAGGGGGATCACAAATTCAAAACCAGCCTCAGCAATTTAGTGAGGCCCTAAGCAACTTAGCAAGACCCTGTCTCAAAATAACAAGGGTTGGGGATGTGGCTCAGTGGCTAAGCGCTTCTGGATCCAATCCCCATTCCCCCCACAAAAATAAATCTGTGTTTCTAAGATTTGAAAAATTGCCAGATGCAATGGCGCATACCTGTTATCCCAGTGACTCAGGAGGCCGAGGCAGAAAGATTGAAAGTTTGAGATTAGCTTTAGCAATTTAGTGAGATCCTTTCTCAGAATAAAAAGGGCTGGGGATGTAGCTCAGTGGTAAAGCACCCCTGAGTTCATTTCCCAGTCCTGAAGAAAAAAAAAAAAAAAAGATTTCCAAACTTTCTTTTCATTAATAAAGCACAGAACAATAATCTCTCTGAGCAAAAGAAGTATTACCCATGTATCTATTCATTCAGTTAAACAATTGAGTGCCAACCCTGCATCTTGGCAGAGCCCATATCAGTGGAAAAAGCAGACAAAAGGTCCTAAATTCCCATGCCCCGCCAAATTCATTAGGCATTGCTTACCATTGGATCCAAAATAATACATAAGGAAGCTTTTGGCTGCTTTGGGAGGAACACTTCACTTGTCTATAGTTTAGGGATTGGAGGAGGTTCTGCAGAGGAGTCAGTCAAGCCTGGCAACCCTGCACTCACAGATCATTTGACTTTTCTGAATCTGCCCAGAATTTTCATTCCATTAAGGATTTTGCTTCCATTTCCTTCCTTCTTTTCTCCTTCCTTCTTCTCTACCCTCCTTTTCCCACTCCTACTACCTCACCTGTCCCTCTTTACCCACATGACCACTTATTTTAATTTTATTTATTATTGTGAAAGAGACCACTTCTTTCCTTGTCAACATTGTAGTGTGGTGAGCCTAATTCAGGCACTCTCCAGCACATAGTTTTGCCTTGTAAGTACTCTAAAGTATGACAAGTCTAACACAAGTAGAATATACTAGATTTTATTCCTCCCTCTTTTTTACTGCCCCTTCATACAGTCTCCAGCCCTTCAAATGGGAAGGTCCTAGAAAGCTCAGGGCTGGCTCAGTCTTTAACCCTTCCCCCAGCCACTGGATCCAAACCCATGTCTTCATTTTGTATGTCACAGAATTTTAAATTTACATACTAATGCTTTTTCCTTTGAGCTTGTTTACTGCCTGCATGAATCTTTGGGACATCTCAGACATAAAATGTTTGGAATGAGACCTGTGATTATCTTTCACCACTTCTCTTCCTGGTGCTCCCAGTCTCAGAGGATAGCATTTACTGGTGGCACAAGCCAAAAGCCTGGGGTCTTCCAAAGCAGGCTGCCTTTACCTCCTAGAGATATGCTCCTTTCCAGTCCTTTCCTCACTTTGCAGCCAGAGAGGTCAGCCCAGTCCCTCCCATGTCTGCAGCAATTTGCACAATTTGCACAGTGCCTGCCACATAGTGGTGCATACTGGGTAGACAGTGGTGAATTAAGTTCATTGTGCGCATGCACTTGTCACTTACCTGTTCTCATCCTGTGGTCTTTTTGTGGTATAATTATTAGTCTACTTCTGGCATAATCCTGTGCTTCTATTTATGCTTTCACATCATTTAAGAAATCTTTCCCAGTGTTAATTATCCTCTTTCTCAAGAATTTCCTGAAGTTCAGCTTTCTCCCCAGAGCCCCAAGTGAAATAACTGAACATTATGAACATTGTTATTATTCAACTGAAAATCTTTATTTTGTGAGTCTAACATTTTCCTTTCCACACAGCACCATTTTTGCATTTTGTAATATTTAAGACTTTATAGACATTATATATTATGAATAATTATTATTAGATTTCATTTTAAAAGCAGATTTTAAATAATTATTACATAGATTTCATTTTAAAAGCAGATTTTAGAAACAGGGTGGATGATGTTTGTTGAATTTCATTTATTTCTAATACAGAATTCCAGTGTGCAAATGTATTTGATAAAAACTATAGAAATAATATTCTCTGATTTAAAGGAGTATAGGACATTCTAATAAACAGATTTTTTAATTGGGCAAATGAAAAGGCAGTCTTACCTGTGATGCAACTTAAGTGATATGCTTTGTGGCTATTTCTGGTGTCTATCTTCAAACTAAATTCTGCCAATTAAAAAAATCATTATTTGGTTTCATTTTCTAAATTCAGCTGAAATGATCTCATTTTAATTATTTAAAAATAGATTTATTGAATCAAAATCATAATGAAATACTACTTCATACCCATTAGGATGACCTTTTATTTCCTTCCCCCCAAAAACACAGAAAATAACAAGTGTTAGGGAGGATATGAAGAAACCGGAACCCTTAGATATTGCTGGAAATATAAGCTGGTATGAATGCTGTGGAAGAAAATACAATGGCTTCTCAAAAACTTAAGTAGAATTGCCATATGATGCAGTAATCCCACTTCTGAGTGTATAGTCAGAAGAATCAAAAGCACAGACTTGACCAAATATTTGTACACCATTATTCATAACAACATTATTCACAACAGCCAAAGAAAGAAGCAACTGAAATGTTCATTGACGGATGAACGGATAAACCAAATGGGGTACTTGCATACAGTAGGTGGAATATTATTCATTGTTGAAAAGAAAAGAATTCTGACTTGTGATACAATATAAATGAATCTCAAAGGTATTATGCTAAATGAAGTAAGCCAGTCATGAAAAAAACAAATATTGTATGATTCTACCTGTGTGAAATACCTAGAATAGACAAATGTATAGAGACAGAAAGTATAGTGGCGGTTTTCAGGGACTGGGACAAAGGAGGACTCAGAAGTATTGTTTAATGGGTAGAGTTTGTTTGGGATGATAAAAAGTTCTGCAAATGGATTGTGAGAATGGTTCTAGAACAGTGTGAATACATTTAATGTCACAGATTGTACGGTTGGACATTGTTAAATTGTAAATGTTCTGCATATTTTACCACAAGAATAAAATAGGTTTGTCAGTAACCACATGCAAATCTACAGTTACCTCTACAAGTACAGTTTATAAAACTATAGATGAAAAAAATATGGATTTATTTCCTTTACATTCTTTGCTCACTTTGTTGAAGCATCTGTTGAATTTGTATTGATATCATAGTTGCCGGAGTGAGAAATTAACCTGTGCCTTCTAGGATTTGTTTTTGCCTTAGAGTCTTTTTTAAGATCCAGCTAAATCTACCCTGTTTAGAGTGTAGATTTTTCATTTTTCATCAGACTCATTGAGCCCTTTGGCCTTTAAGAAATAAATATAATTTGGAAGTCACTGTTTTAAGGATGATCAAGTTGAATTTAGCAACTTTTAGAGTTTCCTTAAGTACACTGGTATGTAGGAGAAAACTGAAGGCATTTAGCTCTGGCATTGTTGTGTCTCCCCAGGTATACCTTGAAAGACTTTTAACGTATGCAGAAATAGATATCTGTCCGGCCAACTGGAAGCGAATTGTTCTAGGGGCGATCCTTCTGGCCTCCAAGGTGTGGGATGACCAGGCCGTGTGGAATGTGGATTACTGCCAGATCCTGAAAGACATCACGGTGGAGGACATGTAAGTGGAGGATGTCATTCGTGTCTCAAAGAGTGTTTGGGAAGGAACTCACACCCTTTTTGGATGCTCTGTATAGCTAAAGTGAATGAATTTGGCTATATGTCTGTTGTGAGTTGACACAAGACACAGTTGTGGAAATACAGAAAACTGACATTTCTCTTACTTTCAGATTATAAACAGGTATTGGTAATGATTTCTGATTGTGTAAAACTAGTTTATTAAAATTAATTCATAGGCAAACATTCTTTTACTTTAATTGGGAAGGTGTAGGTGTAGACTTATGTTTGGGCTCCTCATTTCACTACAGACTGATAACAAAACTTTAATGCTTCACACATTCCTCTGTGGGCAGCCAGCACAGCCCCAAAAGCAAGAGCTAAAATATTATCTGTGTCTGTTTAGTTTCTAAGAAAACATTTTCATTGCTTTGTCATTTTTTTGCAAGTTCAATTGCTTAAAATCAGCCTTGAATCACTGGGGCCTGTCCTGTGTTGTCATCATCAGGGCTTCATGTTCTCCCCACAGTTCAATGGGAGTACTACCACCCTGAAAAACGGCTCTCCATCCCCAGCCCTCAAGGCAGTGTTAGTGCTTCTCAGTTGGGTCAGTGTTCAAATTCCAGTGAGGATTATTAATAGGAGATTTTGAGACTGTTGTCTGCAATCTCTGGGGCCAGGGAATGCAGGAAATGGGATCAGAGTCTCTCAGGAAGAAAGAGTTATAGAAACACTCAACCAGGATGAGCTACTTAGAATGCCTTGTGACTATAGTCACTTCTGACACTGTTCTTGCTAAAAGGTTTCTTGTAATTTTTGTTGGCTTAGTTCTTCCAGAAACCTCCTGGATGAAGCCTTAGACAGGAGAAGGTTACTTACTGAATCCCAATCCCTCTCCCCCCACAACCCTGGACCCTAGTAACCCTGGGGATATAGCATCATTATAAAACCTGACTACCACCAGTGTAAGGGTGTCCCCTGGCTCCTCACTAGTCTGTGGCCCTCCTCTCTCTGGTCACTGGTTTACTGGGCCTTTGGGAACACATCTGTGCTCTTGGATCTCATTGTAGAGACAGACTTGTAACTCCTTTTGTGCCTATAACCCTTATCTTACATGGTAAGAAGAACATGAAGCAAGTTTTGACCAGAATAATATAATAAGGAAAATGAAATTATTGATCATGTTTCAAGGTGAAAACAGCTACAAAGTAGTTGTCATTTAGACCATAAAAGAGATGGGCCTTTGGGGTGCAAGGTGGTAAAAAATTCTGGCTTGTGTCCTTTTATCAGGGTTATTCTTTCATCAACTTACTGATATCATTTGTTGTTGAACCACATGCCGTGGAATTACATACTGTTTGTCCCTTCCTGCTTGTGTAAATTATATAATGCAAATAGTGACTTGGCATGAGTGGTGATGCTCAAGTTCTATAAGAGCACTATGAGTAGTCATGTCCACTTAAAATCTAAAGAACGTAACTGCTGAAGTCAAACTTGGGCCTTAAATATTTTTATCATTTATATCCCAGTTGTTTCTCAAAGGAAATGAGATACAAATGCAAATTGCAGATACCACAGAAGCATTAAAACAGTAGAACAAAGAAAAATTAATAGTGAGATGAATTAGAGGTGGGGAGGAGATTTCTTTTGTGTCCTTATCTTTAATCCACTGGGTTTAACTTGCCAAAGTGCTAGCAAAACTGAATTTTTGTGTAAACTTAGCATAAGTGAAAAGTTTATTTAAAACTTTGAGAAAGTGGTAGAGCACTTGCATAGCATGCATGAGACCCTGGATTTCATCCCCAGCATTGCAAAACAACAAAATAAACTTTGTGGAAATGTTTCTAAAATATTTGTGAGTAGTCCCACTTTATCAATTCATACATGTCTCAATTTGGTCTTTTCATTAACCTTATACATATGTACTTAATAGTACTACTTTCCAGATCTGGATACTGGAGCCTGGAGAGGTTAAATAATGATCCAAAGTTTCCCCAACTGAGAACCATTTCAAACCCATGACCATTCATTATACAGTGGCCAAATGACAAAATGATAGAAATGATGTGTACCAGTCCCTGAACTATCTATGAAGATGTTTTAATTTAGTGCCTGAAATGAGATTTATTAATTTGTTACTCTCCGTAAATAAAAGAATGAGAGGGTAAAAATAACAAGTAATTTGTAATTCCAAGTGTCTAGGCTCTATTCATTGAAGATTTAAATGACTAAGTTAGGAAAAAACTAACTACTAGGAATATTTATAATAACAGTAATAACCACCACAACAGTAATAATAATAATAGCCACTATCATTTATTGAGCACTTTTTAGCTCAGTAAAGAAAATTTTTATATGTTAATTTATTTCTCATAGTTACCCATAAGCAAGTACTAAAAGCAGAGTTTGAGATAAAACTATATTCTCTTCTTCTGTTAGCAGATGGGGTCTGCGTATGGTTGTAAGCCTGTGCAGCTAAGAAAACCTGTTTTGGTGTTAGCAGCTCATCACAGCCTGCTCTGACAGTCACTGCTGACCAAACTGGATTCTTCTCCACTACTATTGAGTGGCTTGTTGGAGCTCTTAATGGCAGGCTGTGCTCTCCAGTGTTGCCGTAGACCCCAGAAGCTCCCTGTCAGTGTCTTTGAAGGTTTTTTATTTCATGAACTTGAAGAATGAAATCCACAGACAAGGAAACTTTAGTGTAAAAGAGTAGGATTTATTCAAGTGGGAAGAAAAGAAACAGAACTCTTTCAGGGTGAGAGGTGATCTGATAGCAGGTGCTAGTCTAGGTATTCATAGCACTAATACTAATGGTCCACATTTATGCTAATCAGGTTTTTGGAAAAGTACCAGTGCTATTGGTTAGCCCTGTGATCTTCATTCAGATCTGCCCCACTTCCATTTTCTTGCTGCTCATTGGCTGACCTGCCTGGGGTGATAGGTCAGGTTATCCCAGCTCACCTTGTCTCAAGCTTGCACTGACATGCAGCTGCAGCCACTGCTGACTGTCCACACTCCAGCCTACCTTCCACTGCTGCTTTCCTGGAACAAGGGCTTGGATTCATTACTAATATTATTCCCATTTTACAGATGAAAATGAGGCTGTGGGAAGTTAAGTAGGATGTCTAGTCCACTTGGCTACTAAGTAACAAAGCCAGAATTTATATTTCTTCTCTTCTAAGCAGTTGAGATTAAAATTGTTTCACTTATCTATTTCATGAACTTGAATGAAATAGTGGCACTTCTTATCCACCAACACAAAAATGTACATACAAGTTAAAATTGCATTTTATAATTAAAAATTACAACTATTTTTTGAACGTTGTTTCAATCAGATTTTTTATTGCCATGACCAAAAGACCTGACAAAGACAATGTGAACGGGGAAAGTTTATTTTGTCTTAAGGTTTCAGAGGTTCAGTCTGTTGCTCCGGGGCTCAGGTGAGGCAGAACATCATGGTAGAATAGCACCGGGAAAGAAAGCAGCTCAAGATGATAGTCAGGAGGCAGAGGGAACTCTGCTCACAAATGAAAAGATATAAAGTCTGAAGGCACACCCTACCTCCTTCCAGTTACCCTCCTGTAAATCTATATCAGTGGATTAATTTGCTGATTAGGTCAAACTTCTCATAACCTAATCATTTCACTTGTGGAAATTCTTGTATTGTCTCATACCTCATATATAAACTGTAACAAAAGTCAAAACTTTTCTACATAAGGAAGATGGAAAATTAGGCCAGAGTTTTTGCAGCTGAAATTAAAGTTATATCAAGAATTATTTGGGGGAGAGGGGTGTTTTCAGTGGTAGAGTATTTGCTTGCCTGTGACAAGATCCTGAATTTGTTCCCCAATACCATCTCACCACCACCACACACACAGAGATTTGTTTTGATGAGGATATTTTAAAATGTCTGGTTTTTGTTGGATAGTCCATACTTCAGGCAATTACTACATTATAGTGAAGTTAAATTATTTTTCAAGAGCAAAATAGTAACAGTAAATGTTTTATTGAATCCAGCTGCTGCATTATTCAGTATTTTGAAAAAACAAGCACTGGAGTGCAAAAGTTCTGTACAATATTTTGTCCAAAGAGGATTGATAAATTTTTTTAGCCTGGCTTTTGTTCTTTCCTTGAAACCTGTTGTTGCATCATCATGCAAGCTACTGGCTGAATCTCATTAATTCATACATTTGAGCATTAATGACTCAAAGGCCTAAGGTTGAGCAGAGGAAGAAGCATGCAGGGAATGCTTTGTTCTTTAAAGACCAGATTGTAAAGTCTTCCTGAAGAAACTGGGTTGATGCCCTCTTCCCTGGTGGTCCATTTTTAATGTTCTGTTTAATCAGTGGTATATGGATTAACATTGATTAACATTCCATAAAAGACTATATATTCTTCTAAGGAGGAATTGATCAAACAGTTGCATATGTGGAATCGGGAATTTACAAGTTTCTTCCCTGCCAAAAGGTAGAAGGAAGCAAGAGGTATCTATTAAAAGTAGGGGGGTATTAGCCAAAAGAGTGCCCTTGTATCATGTTTACAATTCCTGATTATACAGAGGTATTCAGAGCAGTTGTATCTCCATATCTGGAGGAACCAGCCAAATAACCATGACATCAAAGCTCTTCACATATTTTGGCTTGTCCATCACAGAAAAATATAGAAAAATTTGTCTCCCCATTTCATTTTTATGGTGATATTGAAATTTTTTCACCATAAGTTTTGATAATTGTAAAGGCGATCATTTGCAGTATAACAAATGTAATAACACATTTATTTTATTTATTTATTTTTATGTGGTGCTGAAGATCAAACCCATGGCCTCACCTCGCACATGCTAGACACTCATTCTATTGCTGAACCACAAGCCCAGCCCTGTTATATTGTTTTAAAGTTAAAAGTATGCATTGAAGACTAAACACCAGCAATATGATTCCCACCATGACCCATGTTTTTTAGAGTTGAGCATTTTATATTGCTCCTTTTTCTTTTTAAAATCATTATTTCCTATCTAGTTTTCTCCCACATTAAATTTATTCCTCAAAATTGTCCATCACAAAAATGTACATACAAGTTAAAACTGCACTGTTATTTTCTGGACTTTAATGGTCTAACTTATTAAAAATATTTAGGCCTGAGTTCGTAGTACTCAGTTGATCAAAACAATGTATCACATTTTTATATATTTTTATTTTATTTTATATATCACATTACTAAATAGAAGAAGTAAAGTGTTATGGGAAATCCATCTCTTAATGAGATCAGTATACCTGTTTTTCTTCCATTAATTGATATTTTAATTTGTGATTGTTACTTATTGATAGGATGAAGCAATAATTTAGCATAAGTTTTATTTCCATTTGTCTTTTCTCTTTCTTCTGTAACATAAGTGCTGAGAGGAATATATTCATATAAGTAGATGAAATTGTAAGGTGTTTTGTTACAGTAGCATCACTCAAGTCTTTCCAAATTATATGGTAAAATTACACAGTCACCTATTAGTAAAAGTTATTTAAATAAGTCTGCCAGCCACTTTCTCAGATTGTTGAAAGCAAAATCAGGATTCTTTTCAGTTATTACTGGTCATTAGTTATTTGTTTTCACAACATCAAATGGTATCATAACTCTTTGCTTAGCTCCTTAGGGATTTTTTTTTTTTTTTCTTTTCTTGGGACAGTGAATCTTAGCAAGTATGGATGAGTGGCCTCTTTCCTCTCAGAGCAGGAGAAAAATGACTGGGAAAGACGAAGCTGACAGGCAAACTTGCTCCCTTGGATATGTTCTCTGACAGAGTTACAGATCTAGAAATCTCTTTCCTGATGTTATGTTCCCCAACATTCTTGGAGCATTATTTTTACCTTAAGTGAGTGCATCCTGAATTTGCCCACTGTGTGTACTTCCAATTGGAGAGATTGCTGTCCATATACCATTTTGGATAGGATCATTAAACTAGTTCTCTTAAAATATAAAATTAGAATTTTCTGCCTTAGCATTGGCACTTCCTAGCCACCAGACGGCGATCTTTCCACAGGCACCTTGCATATTCACCCCAGAATTGCTCCTTCTAACCCATTCCTTTTGGCACTTCTGGCCTCGGCAGTATTTTTGACACTCTTGTTTTATTGAAATATTACCTGGAATTCCAGTATTTTACAGGATGATCTCTTACTAAATTCATTTAAATGAAGCAATAAAATAAAAGTAAATTAAAATTAAAAAGTTTTTCCAAATAAAAGTAAACTCCTTAAAAATATAAGATTCGGAATAGTTTGTACATTTGGAGCTTGTTAATTCCTTTCACTTGACTGTATAGAAATAGCAAGCAAGATATGCTTATCTTTATCTTATTGAAAGACCCTCATTCACATGACTTCACTTAGGCTTTCATCAGCAACTCACTGTTTTGAAATTCTTACGTGGCCTGATAGTTTCTGTCCCACCAAAGCCATCATTCAGATACCAGTCTCCCTTTTCTTCTTTAGCTCTGTCCCTTGTTTCAACAGCGTGAAATGAGGGCACATTCCTCCTTTGCCTCTACTACCTTAGTTAGATGACTCATCAGGCTCAGGCAAGATGGCACTGTACTCAAGGGAAAAGGATAGTGCTGAGGTAGTTTGAGATCCCAAAAATCAAATTGTGTGTTCAATGAGGTTAGCAGAGCATGACTCAGAATGGGATCTGGAGGACAGAAGCCCACCACTGGGGATAGGGCTTGCCAGTGTTGAGCTTTACCTGTGGGATATGGTGACTACATGGCCTGCCTTCCTGTACTGGGCTTACTCAGCCAGAAGAACCCCACCATAAACCCTTGTTCCTTTCTGCCAGAACTTCAAACTTTCATAAAATCAGTTCAGCTCAGGGAACAGGCATGTCAAGTCAGTTGTCACAATTCCTGGCTATGAGGAGACAAATAGGAGAGACTGAGTAAAAACAATTACAAAATAGTGTGATAAAGGACAGAAATAGAAGACTGCAGGGTTCTGTGAGCCTGGCATCACCAGATATTTCATGGAGGAGGTGGTGTTGGAATGGAGCACTTTGTCCAGGACCAGTGCTTAAAAAATTTATCTGTCACTCCCCTTGCAGCTACTCAACATTTCCTCAAAATGGAAATGGACTGACAAGATGTATCATAACACTATGTTTTTTCACCCATTTCTTTAGTTGACTGGTTCTCAAAGTGTGAACCAGGGCCCAACAGCCTCAGCATCACTATCACCTGGGAACTTATTATAAATGTGATGTTTTCAGGCCTACCCCAGGCCTACTAAATCCAAGTCTGAGGGTGGAGTCCAAAAACATGCTTTCCCCAGGTGACTGGCATGCATACTGAAACTAGGAAACTGCTGCTTTGATAGTTCAGGGTCTGTGAGCTCCCTTTAAGGATTGGGGCTGGGATTGAACACTCCCCACAAACCTTTGCAGCAGTCTCTCCCCTTGAGAAGCCCCTAACAGTTCTTACACTCTTTTCTCTCAAAAAGTAGGAAAGAGCCATTGAGAAATCCCAGTTCTCTAGGTCTACAGGGGCCATTTTTTCCTCTGTGTAACTGTCATGAGGCCCTCACTAGACTTCACTTGACAGCTCTTGACTGCTTCATCTAGTCTGCCATGCAAGCAAGGTGCAGGCCACATCATGCGAGCAGACTGTTCGTGCTGAGATTTGCAGCCAGGCCTGCTGTGTATGTGTTAGGTGTCAGTGAAATGAATCACCCTGAAGCACTTCCTGGTAATCATCCCAATTAATCAGGCTTCATCCTTCTGGGCACTGGATCAAGCAGATTCAGTTTTTAATACCAATTTGGTGGTTAAACTGCATCTCTGGTGTCCAACCAGGCAATTAATTAGATCATTTTTCTCCCTGGAGGATGGCAGTTTTCTGCAGTCTGGTCTCCAGCAGCTTGGCAGGCCACACAGCCTGGTGGGCAGCTAAGTTTGTGCTATTTTTGCTTTTGCTTTGCAGGAATGAGCTAGAGCGACAGTTTCTTGAATTGCTCCAGTTCAACATCAACGTCCCTTCCAGTGTATACGCCAAGTATTATTTTGATCTTCGTTCTTTGGCAGAAGCAAATAACCTGAGCTTTCCTTTGGAGCCACTGAGCAGGGAAAGGGCCCACAAGCTTGAGGTAAGATGTTTTAAGACATTGTCCTGTAGAGCACTGTTGCGGATGTACCTTCTCATTACCACAGAAGTACAATGATGTCTCCCATTTGCTGTTGTAAAATAAGGACAAAGTCCTTGGAGTTATTGCTGCTCAGTTAATTTAGTTGATTATAATTTGCACAGCTTCACATTTTTAATAAACTTTATTTAAAAAAAATTTTTGTTGTTGTTATAAATGGACAGAATGCCTTTATTTGTTTTATTTTGTGTGGTGCTAAGGATGGAACCCAGTGCCTCATACATGCCAGGCAAGTGCTCTGCCTCTGAGCTACAGCCCTAATCCCTAATAACCTTCTTAATGTCATATGTATTGATTCTATTTTGAAATTAAAGATTTTTTAAAACCCTTGTCCTTATAAATAGGGTTTTTAAAAAAATTATAAGCCCCTTCAAAAAAGGTATTTCCTAGCATGCACTTAATAGGGGAACGCTACCAGATGACTTTAACAATCGGCAATCCAAAAAGGTTTGACTTCTTTTTTCTTAAATATTTGTTCTATAGTTCAGTTAGAGCTGGAGCCAGCTGCACCTGGTGGTCTTGGTCTGGGTTAGAGCCATCATTATTAACCTGAATGACTTTTGTGTCTCATCACAATGTATTTTCACCATGCTTTTCCCATCTGACTTTTAGACAGGAGGGAATGGCAGGGTAGTAAGATCACTGGTGAGACATGTTCATCCAGAGAAGGTGTGCTGAGGCTCTGGTCTCTTGCCTCTGGAATTTACCACTGGCAACATTTCGGTTTTATTTTAGAGAGCCTTGGGCTAAAGTGATAGATGGCATAATCCTTTCCCAGGCTTGGTAAGAATCAAGAGGTCCAGGGCTGAGGCTGTGGCTCAGTGGTAGAACGCTTGCCTAGCATGCGTGAGGCACTGGGTTCGATCCTCAGCACCACATAAAACAAATAAAGATATTGTGTCCACCCAAAACTAAAAAATAAATATTAAAAATTTTTTTTTAAAAAATCAAGAGGTCCTGTGCTGCCTGCTGCACCATTCATGTGAAGTGAATGCTGTCCCTTTTCAGTATGGTGACAGGTGGGCAGCATGGTGGTCTAACAGGTCTAAAAGCTGAATGAAACAAAGCTGAGAGGTAGAAGAAGAGAATTATTATGGATTATAGATTTAGGAAAGCAAACATTTTAAAAAGGAAATAATATGTTAATCCCAAGAAGGAAACTTGGTAAAACATTGGAAAAGACCAGCTGCCTAGCACTGGGGTTTAAATGAAAATCCAGAAGAGGTTTTGAGAATTCAAGTCATTTTGCTGTGATCCTGTCCCAGCTGTAGGGATGAAAATACTCATGTGGTCTGTGCTTCACCTGTTCAGATGGAAACCCTTTCCTCTGAATGATTTCTTCCAAGGCACATGTTCAAATCTTTGCGAACACATGAACTACAATTAGGGTTTCCTGGTGAGCATGACCCTCTCTCAGTCCAAACAGCAGGCCCTGGTCTACTGCCATGGGCTCTACTTGTTCGTTCAGTACTAGGGAGAGGAGGTTTTGTCTTTGAAATGAATTAGTATGTCTGTGCACTTGTGGGGATGTGAATAAAGCTAACATCACTTTGCATAATAAAATCTAGAGTAAGGTAGAACATTATTAATCTGTGATTATATTACATTCAGATTTAAATGTTTATAAGCTGAAAAACAACAGATGGTAATCTTAGGAAATTTAAATAAATGAAAAGAATTTGCTCTGAAAAAGGATAGCTCTCCTGCCCCTAAGGAATCTGATTTTCTTTTCTTCAAATATGCCATCTATATAATATGTATGATATATGTTTTAGATGAGGAATTCTGTTATAATCTGTCAGCTTCCCTAATTCATTTCTCATCCAGACAGAAGACATCCTTGATTCCTGTAGCTCTCCTCCAGTCCATTGTTCATGCTATCACAGGAATTGTGTTTCTAAAATGCAGTTTGGGGTTTTGGAATGTTGTCTTAAAATCATGGGCAGATTTGTGCTACCTAAAGAATAAAGCCTGAGCCAGCTAGTATGGCCTTTTCAGTCTGGTCCCAGCTGGCTTGCTGTCCTTTGGTAGCCCTGAGCCCTGGCTTTGCCCACCACTTACCATGCCAGCACCATGTGGCTAGGACCTTCTGCCCTTGCTGAGGATATTCTCACTCTCTTGGCAATTTCCTCCTCCTCTTCCTTCTCCTCAGGCATATCCCTGGAATCCTGGTTCCATCCTTGGTCACGAATGTGTCCTCAAAATAGAGTCAGTTGCTCATTCCCTCTGCTTCCAGGTACTTTGACACACCCCTGTTGTGTTCATGCTCTGTTGTGTCATGCCTCTGTTGGAACTTACGCATCCAGTCAGCATACTGACACAAGGGTACCACTATGAAACAAAACTGTACTTGGGACTTTACATTCTACTGGAAAGAGAGAACAAACAATAAGCACAACAAATAAATTGGCTAGTATGTTAGAAGGTGGGTAAAAAAGAAAAGTGCAATAGGGCCAGGGGATTGCTGTGTTCCATAGCCTTGTTGAGTGTACGGTGTTCATGGAAAGACAAAAGCGGGGGAGAAGTTGGACTTGCAGATCCCTCCTGGCTGAGAGAAGAGCTGCTTCCAGGCCAAGTGGGAGTCCATCTCTGAACTGCTTTGTCTCTCTTGCCCCTCAGGCTATTTCTCGCCTCTGCGAGGACAAGTACAAGGACCTGAGAAGATCCACGAGGAAGCGGTCAGCAAGTGCTGACAATCTGAATCTGGCGAGGTGGTCCCCAGCCATCATCTCCTAACCATGGATGTCCCCACTGGAGGCCGCACCATCCCTCAGTTTCTCCTTTAGTTTGAGAAAAAACTAACTTGGGGTGGTTTTGTTTTTGTTTTTCCCTTTCCTTTTCTTTTTTAACTCACAGCTCCATCAGGCTGCCTTTATGACCTCCTCCACGCTGCGTGAACTGCACGCAGCAAGGCTTTGAGGAAGCAAGATCAGTATTGTGGAAATCCTGTTTCATGCCTTTCCCCATCATCAACAGCACTTCCTTCGTGGAGGAAACAGACTCTAATCCTGGAGGAGGAAATAAAGGGAAAGGGAAGTCGTGTGGAGGCAGGGAAAATGGTTGAACGCCTTGGCCATTTCTTAAGTCCCCCATCTGGTCAGTAGATGAATATGACAAAAAAAAAAAACAACAACAACAACAAAAAACCACACAGTAGATAGCAGAGTTGGATGTGCATTAAAGACGGGAGTGCCACGTTTATCACCCCCATTTGGATCAGTATGTTGTGTAAGACTTCTTCCATTCCTTCTTGCTGCTTTTTTGGGATTTGGGGGATTTTCATTCGTTTGTTTTTATTCCGTTTTCATTTTGGTCCCACAGAGCAGAGAATATAGTTTGTACCCACCATGGCACAGACATCCAAATAAATAGTACCAGTTTGTTTCTCTCTGCACTACTCTGCGAGCTGTCTTCTGAGCTTTCTTCCTCACAAGTGGGCTGTGCTCGTTATATTTCTGTACATCTTGATTTTATACAGTTTTTCTTCAACCATGGCAAAGTTAACTTGACTGTAGTGCTGAACCAAAAGTATCCCTTGCCCTTTTTACCCCTCACCCCAAGAAAATTTTAGATCATATGGGTGCTTGTGCCTTCCAATTATCTTGCAGTTGCTGTTTTTCCCCCTCTGGCCGGAAGTTTTAGTTACAAAAATCAGTCAGACTTTGTGGACTGAAGGAAACAATGTGCAGCCAAGGGCATCCTCTGGTTGAGAACTTTCCCAGGGAGCTCATTGTTTGCCCAAGTCATTGTGTAGGAGCCATTTCTTTGTACTCCCTGCCTAGTTCATTCTTCTACTTCCATGTCCATTGTTGCAAGCAATATTATTCTCAATTTTTATATGTTTACTTTAAATCAAAGTTAGTCTATTTGTATAAAATTTTTTAAAAATCTAAAATTAAAAAAAATGGGGTGGGTGGGGTATTCCAGTGGGCGGACCATCAAAGGGAAAATGTTACTATTTACTGAGGTATTTTTCACAGAATGATGAATAAAACAACTCAACTTGCATTTTCATTGTGGGTGCTTAGAGAAGTTATACAAAATTCAAACTGTGAAGGCTTATGCTTCATTAATTATGACCGAACTTTGTCATTTTCTGACTATCCCTGATTTCCTTATGGGCTAGATAAGAATCTTTTATATCAAATAAAGTAAAAAGGTTAAAGATAGAGTATCAAATAGTAAATTTGATATGAAGCCTGAGAATCTGAGTCATTTACACTTTGGATTTTGCTTATTTTATTAGGTAACAGTGACTGAGGTTTCTGAGCTTTTTCCTTTTTCAAGTCTCTGAGGCAAATGGCAGCAGTTGGTCTGTTTCACCTCCCTTCTATGTGAGCTTGGAAAACTTTGGACTCTTACGTTAGTCTTAAGAACCTTAAAATTGTACCCCCAATCTCCAACAATCTCTACTCTTAATGAAACAAGTTTGGAAATGGAGGGGACTCAGAAAGTCAAGAACACCCAGCCAAAGTGCTAGTCAGGTTTCAATGGAGTATGTGTTATGTATGATCATAATTGTTCAGGCCAGAATAATGATCAGGTTCTTCCTGGACTGAACTTTCAGACAAGCAGAAAATGAAGAGTTAAATACCTTCCCATGTAATTGTGTTGACTTATTCTGAATGAGTACCAAAATCACCTTCTCTCTTCAAGTAAGAGTTGAATTTAGAACTTTAAACAGAAGTCTAAAAATGTAGAAAGTATCGTTTTATATTCCCTAATCTCTATATAGCTTCAAAAGGGACATATTTTCTTAGCTGAATATGAATACCTCTTAGACATAAATTTGTTCCTCTCATGTAAAATATCTTATTTTACTGATCCATTTCAGGAAAGAGGTTCTGCTGACTTTATAGCAGAAATCTTATTTTTATCCCTTTTATTTGAATGAGAGATTTGAAAATTGAACTATGTAAATATTTCAATGCATCTACTATAATTTTGTGGAGTTTATTAAACTACTTTAAAAAATTGTATAGTCTATTTATTGTATGTATGTACATACAGTCTGATACCTGAAACTTAAAGTGGATTCCGTAAAACCTGGCTCAGTCTTGTTTAGACTATTGAATATTGTTTTAGCCTTGTGCACTGGACTCTACCTCTGTATAGGAAATTTTTCCATATTCATTAATTGGTATTGGTCTGTATTAACTGGTTATGTTTCTTGCACTAAGGACTTTAAAAACTTTGCTGTAAGTGTAGCTTTTAGTTTTACCTTTGCAGTATGATCACTTGACACATCGGTAGATAACTTAGATTTGGTTTTATTTTTCTACATGATGATGAAGACATAAAATTTGTTTTCTGGTTTGTTCCAAGTTTGCCAAAAGATAAAAACAACAAAACCAAACCCAAAATCAGTATAGTACCTATTGGTAAATTTTAGGGACTGTAATTTGTTTGCAGGGTGATTCAATACCCTACAGTTTAAACCAGATGATACTTAAGAATATAATGTCTTAATGTAATATTTGAATGGAGAGATTTTTGTCATTAATGAAGGGTGAAGAAAACCACACATTTATTTGACTCTAATTTTAGATTTGACTTAAACAACAAAGTCATTGGGACAATAAATATACATCCCAAAGAATTTTGTTTTACTTTTCTTTAACTGGGGAAGGAAAGGAAGTCAGGGGTCTAAAACCAAGTTGGTGGGCAAGGTGGTAGATCTACAAGCCCTGGGAACTGCTCTGGTGCCTTAATGCACCTCGTGAAGCCTGGGGCTCAGCCTCATCTTGTCGCCTGTCTTTCAGGCTGGCTCTCTTGTGTTTCTTCTCTTGGTCTTTGGCAGCGGTGTCTCCATCTTGGAGTTTTTCTTGGTTCTTGGTGTTTTGCCCCTTAGCTGAGCTGTAAGGCAGAATTTGGGGGAGTGAGCAATTTTTGACTTTTCCTGCTGCTTTTGGGTAACCTCTCACCTAAAGCCACATTTTACGGCTTTGAATTTTTTAAAAATAAAATATGATTCCTGGTTCATTGTAGGTGTTTAATAAGTGTTAAATAAATAAATACATACATAGAACAAATAGTGCCTGCCTTCCTGCTGCTTTTTTTTAATTTATAATGTTGAGATAAAAATTAACAGATTTTGTGGGTGCTGAGATAATGAATTCTTTTTAAATAAAAACAGTGAGAGAAAGTATATTAGTTCTGTGAGTCTTGAGAGATTCAAAACAGGATGAGACTTCCTTAGAATCTTCCATCAATGGAAATGTTTGCGTGATGGAAGCCTAACTGCCCTGTTTTATCTTAAGTCACTGTCTCCCTGAACTTACTGGAGTCAGCATCTCAAGACTTACACTGGTTGGATCCCAACCATAGGGAGTTGGAAAACAAGAAGGAAATAAGAAACATGCCCCTGAATTGAGATGAGAAGAGGACACTTATACCCTGCAGACTGCAAGGAAAGCCCTACAGATAACTTCATTAAGATAATGATTTGCTGTTACTGAATGCTGAGAAAATCTGCACCTGAAAACAGATTGCCCCACAGGTACCAAACAAGCTTCTGTAGAGATTAGGGAGATGCCTCGGAGTGCTTGCAGCCACAAAGTTGATGTTCAGCATTTGGACCTGACCAAGTCAGCAGACTTCCTCTTCAGTTTTTCAGGTTAGGTTTCCTTACACAGTCTGTATATGTGAAGGGACTACAGGTCCTCATGTGCCACTTCCCATGAGAAATTTTCTTCAGGAGTTAGTTGTCATTACCAAAATGATCTGCTTTTATTAAATGCTCAAGCAAAATAGTCATTGGAGATTGCTGTATGTGTGCACTGCTGCAAATCAAAGCTGTGCATAAGTAACCAGGCAGAGATTTGTGCTGGAAATTATATATGTCCCTTGCAGATCTATGTAGAAAGTTCTAGAAGAACCTGTTACCATAAGAAATGGACTCACACGGTGTCTGAATGGCATTTGGATTTTCCAGGTATCGATAAATGTGGGATAAAAGAATGTTATTTCAAAATAAATACAGTTTGGAAAAAATATTAAATGGAACTTGAACTTATGCATAACATTTTGTTAACATTGGTATTGATCCGTGTTGTAATGAAACCTTGGGTTTTGAATCTCAGTCTAAAATTATAATGTAATCCTAAACAAATTGCTTCACCTCTGGATCTTTCAATGAACTGGGCTATTAATCTTGCTTGGTTGTTTTTGCCACCTCGCTTTGTTTCTGAACACACCCTGTGCAATTATTCTCACATCTTGACTGTTGGATACATGTAGGAAGGCCGGGCCTAATAAAAGACAAGTACAAGCCAGACTGAATTTCTCTGGGGGAAATCAATCTTCTTTCCAATGTCCCCTCCCAGAGAAGGGTGGCCATTGGTAGATGCAGCAGATCTTACATAAATTGGAAGGGTATCCAAATTTCAGCTACTGTCCATTTTCCCTTGGGTCTCTCCTGATGCAGTTCAGCTTTTACTGTGTCCTTAAATTGGACTTTCCTGGGTCTAGATGTGATTTCTTATCCACATTGGCAGATGCAGAAAACCTTGGAACAGGAAAGTTGAATGTGTGAGTGCATCTCAAAGTGAGTCTGTCCTGAAAGGGGTGCTGCATCATGGTCTAACTATTGATTGATGCTTATTGCAGTCCTATAGACCAGAGCTTAGGAAGCCCATCCTTAGAAGGAAAGGATTTTGCTCCTTTTATGGCATCTGCCATTCATCCAGGAAGATGAGAAGCAGCCACTTTCAGTTTTCCTACATCTGCCCCTCCTCATCAGCTCTTGGGGTTTGTGTGAAAGGACTTGCATTGATGGTACTGAAAGTTGGTGTCGCCTCCAAGGACAAGACCAGCATTTGAGGTACAATGATAAATGATCATTGTATAAGTTCAGAACATCTGAGTACAAGGCCTGTGACATGAATGACATGGTTTGGCATTGGCAACTCATCATCTTTACAACAGTGAAGTGTCACTAGATTATCGGAAGATCCTTCCCACACCTAACACTAAGTTATTCTATGAATGACCTAGTTATTCTGGGATTTTTCTGGACTTTTTTGAGAGTCTTAACCACAGATTTTCTTACCCCTGTAATCTTTGGAAAACAAAAAATAAAGAATTTGGGGTAGACTGTAGCAAAGCATACAGAGTCCCAAATGCCTATTACATCCCTTCAATCATTCTCTATAATATCCTGCAGAGCAATGGGCTCCTTAGTGTAAGCTAAACAGGAAACAATTTCTAAAGTATTTTCAAGAAAACGTATGTGTTTGTTCCATAATGAGTGGATTTTATTGAAGGCTTTACCTTATCCATTCAAAAAAATATTGACCATGAGCTATGCTGGACACCATGTCTCCTATGTGTAGGGACCAATACAATGAGAAGAGATGAGATCTTTGCTTTTCTTGTGGACATTTTAGCGGGGCAGTCAGTCACTACACACCATACAGATAGCATACTTTGGATTGTGATACATGTCTGGAGGAAATTGGGTGGTGTGACAGTAATGAGCAGGGGTAACTTGGTGGAAGTGACCTTGTGAGTAGTGGTCACCATGGAAGAATTGAAAAAGGAAGAGCTTGGAGGGAAAGGAAGGTAGTTGGAGATGTGGGTGGAGAAGAATTGGGCCTTGCAGACCCTGGCAAAGAACACAAATCTTTTTTAAAAATTTTTTTATAAGTTATTGATGGACCTTTATTTGTTTATACATGGTGCTGAGAATCAAACCCAGTGTCTCACACATATTAGGCAAGTGCTCTACCACTGAGCCACAACCCAGCCCCAAGAACACAGATCTTGAGTCCAGGAGAATGCTCCTGAAACATTTAATTGGATTGTACCATTTATTATATTCGACTCTGCCAAATGTTGTTTTGGTGTGCAGGGGCATAGGAAACATCATTCCTACCTTCATAGATTATACACAGGAAAGAACAACTAGAAAATTCATAAGATGGGGTTTTACCACACAACTAGGAAGAATCACCCATTCCTTTATCAATTATTTAGTTATATATTCATAAAGTTTCAAAGTACTGAACCTACAATCTACCAGGTATTGGTGTAATAGGAGTGTATCAGGACTAAAAACTGGCCCCTGCCTTTCTAAAACTGTAGTGTTTGGGGATGGATTAATGGTTCTGACTTAACAATAATGAAAATAAATATGTGTTCATCCTATTATGGGCATGAAGCAGACTACCTGAACCTGTCTCTGGTGACAGAAATGTACACGAAGTGTATTTTGGACAAGCATTCATGGCTTCTACAGTTATTTATTGAATATTTTATATAAGTCTACAGCTATTTATTGAATATTACATTAACTCTGTTTTGAGGATCTAGAAGTTGATGTGATTGCCATGATGAAAATCTAGGAGAAATATTTAGAAAGTTAATAGATTAGCAAGATTGCAGTTACGAGAGATCAGTATTCAAAAATTGACAGATTTCAAGTTCACCAGCAATAACCAATAAGATAAAATATAATGGAGAAAAGATGCCATTCGAAATAGCAAAAGATTATATAACATATCTAAGAACAAAAACATTTATCAGGTGTTTACCATGAGTTCAGAACAATTTAAGCCTATGGTACATGTTTTAATCCTTCCATGTCACAATTTTGTGAGGATACCTGCTATCATTCCTAGATAAGGATGTTTCAGCTTGGAAAGATTAAAAACCTGATCCGTAAGCCATAAAGCAAAGAAACCTGACTTCAGGGCTTATTTTTAATCACTGCTATATGGTCATTTACTGCCTCTGAAGAGTAGGAAACCCATCAATAAATGGATGTCTGCTTAAATGTCCTGTTCTCTTAGAGATCTTGTCTAACACCACTACCACCCCTACCCATGAAGGTAATGCCTTCCCTCTTGCATGGGCCTGTTCTAAGCCTACAGTGGATTGAACAGTGTTTCAAAATTCAGGTCAACCTCAAACCTACAAATGTGATCTTATTTAGAAATAGGGTCTTTGTGTATGTAACTAATTAAGATAGCCATAAGGATGGTCCCTAAATCCAGGATATATAAAGAACTCAAAAAACTTAACACCAGAAAAATAAATAACCCAATCAATAAATGGGCTAAGGAACTGAACAGACACTTCTCGGAATAAGATATACAACTGATCAAAAAATGAAAAAATGTTCAACATCTCTAGTAATTAGAGAAATGCAAATCAAAACTACTGAGATTTCATCTCACTTCAGTCAGAATGGCACTTATCAAGAACTACCAAGAATACAAGTGTCAGCAAGGATGTAGGTGAAAAGGTACACTAATACATTGCTTGTGGCACTGCAAATGAGTGCAGCCACTCTGGAAAGCAATATGGAGATTCCTTAGGAAACTTAGAATGAAACCACCATTTGACTCAGCTATCCCACTCCTTGGTCTATATCTGAAGGACTTAAAATCAACATACTATAGTGATGTAGCCATATCAATGTTTATAGCAGCTCCATTCACAATAGCTAAACTGTGGAACCAACCTAGATGCCCTTCAATAGATGAATGGATAAAGAAATTGTGATATATCTACACAATGGAATACTACTCAGCATTAAAAGAATAAAATTATGGCATTTGCAGGTAAATGGATGGAGTTGGAGAATATTATGCTAAGCAAAGTAAGCCAATCTGAAAAAACCAAAGGCCGGATGTTCTCTCTGATAAGTGGATGCTGATCCATAATGAGGGGGAAGGCATGGAAAGAATGGAGGAACTTTGGGCAAAGGGTGGGGGAGGGGGAGGGGAAGGAGCATGCGAGCAGGAAAGAAGGTGAAGATGGTGGAATGAGATGGATATTATTACCCTAGGTACATGTTGTGTACCATGAACCAAAATGCATTCTGCTGTCATATATATGCCCAATCAGAATATATATATATATATATGATGGTTTCTAAATCCTATGACTTGTCCTTATAAAGAGAAGGAAATTTGGAAACACGCGTACACAGGGATATGTGGACACCACCATGTGAGGATGGACACATATATTAGAGGGACACCAAGGATTGTTAAGGACACCAGAAGCTGAAAGAGCCGAGGAAGATATCTTCTATGGAGTTTTTTTCAGAGAGCATGATCTGCTGATTTCTAGCTTCCAAAACAGAGAATAAATTTTCTGCTTAAAGCTATCTAATGTGTGGAAATTTGTTTGTGGCAGCCCTAGGAAACCAACACTCATATAATTCCTAAGTACCTAAATAAAGGAAATGCTAAAATTTACTGTAAGTCATCAAAACAGATCTGAAGGGGTGAGACATAGCATATTCCTGAGCATGAAGTCACAGTACTGCTTCTCCCCTTTGTCCAATGTGCTCTTAAGCACACCTATCTCTGTCCCAGTCTAGCATCCTTCTCTGAGCTGTTATTTCTGGCATCCTTCTGCCTCTGAAATTACATTGCTCATTCTCATTTGGATATGTGCTAAATGTCATGTCCTCTTATAGACCTGCTCTTGACACCCCCCCCCCATAGAAGGTAACAACTGCTTCCCTCTTGCCCTCATTTTAAGCCTTGCATAGCTCTCATCACTGTTTGCTTGTTCATTTGTTTATTGTCTTCCTCTTGTCCCTGGAATACCTACTCAGGGAGATGGGGGCTTTGACTAACCCATTCCCTTCTACATCCTGGTGCTCAACACCAGCCAGACCTTTAGATGAGTGGCTGAGTGAGTGGATGGTGTAGTGCCCAAGTTCAGAGAATAAGAGCAGAAGTGGAGCTGTAGCCAAAGTAATTTTGAGCAAAAATAATACAGTGGGAAAGACAGAAGATGGCGTCTAATAGAGTGCATCACCCCCGTGTACCGCGTCACTGTGCAGGTGAATAACGAGTTAGAACGGCCAAAAGCTATCTTGTTAGGAATTTCCAGCAAAATTGGGGTGCACTGAAACCTAGAGGAAGGATTTCCATCACCCGAGGATCGGTTACTGGGGCTCAATCACGAGTGAACCGTGCGCCCGGAGATTCAGGCTGTTTGATCTGCGGCCCACCCCACTGCTAGAGACTGCGGCGCGGGGAAACGGCATGCCAGCGACGCAGAGGAACAGGGCTGCAGATTCTGTGGGGGTCCTGCCGGCTGTGCCCTCACTGTGCTCCGGGCTGAGTTCGTGGTTTTGAGACGGGGAAGGAAGTGGTCCAGTTCTGTCCTCCACACCGGACAGCCCACTGAGGAAACCAGCGGCCACCATCTTGGAGAGCTGACGTCACCATCACCAGTTTCCAACAGATCGCAGCACATTCAGCGATAGAACAGGGGTGTGTCATTTAGTTCATCTCACATACAGCG